ATTGGCCGTCTCGGCGCTCCACCGTAGCCAGTCTAGCTTGCTGTTGTCTCCGAAGTTGTTTGCAGGTGCGCTCAATCTCAGGATTCAACGGCAGTAAACCTCCCGACTGGCTACGGGTCATGCACTATCTGCACACAATCAAGCAATGCAAACCCGTGAAGGCACAAGTGGGAGAAACAAAAACTCAATGCAAAAATGAAAATGCTAAAGTAACAGAAATCACTTTTCTTCAACAACCTAGCCGTCCCCGGCAACGGCGCCAAAAACTTGACTCACTCCTACTGTCACCCTAGAAAATGGCCAAGTATAACCACTTCCTAAAGCGTAGTATAGCGGGTCGGGTTTTAATGTCAACCCGGGTCCTAGATGTGATGACTACTCGGTGAATTCTTGTTATTTAGCGGTGAACTTTTAGTGCAACTCAAGCAAACAAAACACAAAGCAAGTAAACGGTTTGTTGTCAAGTCAAGAGAGGTCACCCGGATATGGTTCCCCCTAGACTGCAGTTAAGTCGGATTGCAATTTACCAAGTTCAGTTTCCATGAAAGTTATACTGCGGAAGGTTCTCAATTAGCCTGAAGTCTCGACTAAAGGTCTCCAGACCCTCTCAATCTGAGTCTCTAGCGGGCGACTAACCTCCACCGGAGTAAACAGATTGAGGCCCTAATGAACCAAACCTCCACTACCGAATTAACTTCGGTACAGAATAGCGAATTGGCTCCTCGACTAAAGTCACCAATTCGCCACCTTCGATTAAGGGTACTCTATCAACCTAGGCAGATATTCTCATTCCAGGTCAAAGCAGAAACAACAGGAATTTGATCAGGATTCAAGTCATTCAATCATTCAAACCTCAATCGAATATAATCAATTCACAAACTCTGTACTTGGGTTCATACAATCAGACCTAGCATACAAATCTAGGGTTCCCCATACCCAGATGAATGGGGAAACTACTCCATAGAGAAAGAAGCAAAAGCAGATTCAGACGCGGAAATCATACTGTGAAGTTGGATTCCTGCTCCTGGACGTTTAATCGCACTTCTCCAAGCTCAAGACGGGCTCCAATGGTGTTGAAGATCGATCTATGGCGCTTGGGAACTCTGGTTCGTCGCTTTCTCTCTCTAGGAATCGATTTCTCTCTCAAAAACTCGGAACCCTTCAATGTTGGCCTTCTTCCTCCTTAAATCAGCTGCCTGGTCGCGATACCCGGTCGAAATACCCGTTCGGGTATTTTGGGTTTCGACCGGGTATCTCTGCAGCGCACCGTTTCGCTTAAGGGAAGAATCCCCGGTCAATCGCCATAATCCCCGACCGGGGATTTTGCTGCTGTGCCCGGGCCCCTCTCTGCTTCTCGGGCGCCCAAAAGTGGTGAATACCCGGTCGGGTATTTGGCCACCTGACCGGGTATTTTTCCTCCTTCAGCCTATTCGTCCCAACTTTGCTCCTTTCGACCCAGAACTCGTTTCTCCGCCTCGATTCCAACGCCGGGACCTGAAATATGACATAAACACACAACCTAGCATGAAATCGGCTTAAAACACGAGATTCCTCATCACAAACAGCTTCAGAATAGGGGTGGAAACATGTATAATTATCGGTCTATCAGTAATCAACACAAGAACACATATAAGATCATGAAATTATGCAAATACATATGCAAGCGTCCTAGCCGACAGAATTCACCGTCTCTCCTTAAGGAATCTTGTTCCCCTCTATACCCAAGGTTATGGAATGATTCCTCCTATGATAGAAATGACGTACCTTTTCCAGCGTAGCGGTACCTCAAACCCCGAAAACCATCGAACGCAGCGAACCGGCGAGAACCACACTTGACTCGATTTTCTCTTTGAAAAGAATGCATAAAACTAGCTTTGGATTTTAGCAGAGTTTTGTTACTGGAAAAACGTGTATAAAAACTAGAGGGGGTTATGTGTTATTTATAGAAAATGAAGGGGTGCGTACGAAGGGAGGCGACTCTTCATATGGGTGGTTACCATGGTTGGAAGTTTGGTACCAATATTTGGGATATACCGAATACCGTACCGAATTTTTCTATATTTGGCATTCCCGAATACACGTATTATTTTTTGGGATTGGGATTGGGATTCAATTCCAAATGTTATTTGGTATTAGGGATTACAGGATTGGGATCGGTATATACCAAAATACCAACAATACCGAAGTATAGTATAGTGTATATTTATCCTCTCAACTAGTCTCTCTCGTTCACTACTACACGACCATCAACCACCAATCTCTTGTTATTTTTATAACACCAAAAAGTAAACACTAGTATTAGTCTTCTCTCAGCCTCCAATTCGTCAAATTAAAGATTATCAATGACAAAAACTTGAGATGTCACCTCTTCTCCATTCTCCTTATCCATATCCTGGCACTAGCCAAACTCAAGACTGTTTGCTTAGTCTCTTTGTCCTATATTAAACAATCAAATCTACTTTATATATTTAATTATTAATTATAAAGATAATTAATTTCGTATTCGATAATACCGATTGGGATACCGAAGTACCGATTGAGATACCGAAATTATTTAGGGATTGTAATTGGGATCGATTTTAGGGTGTAATTTGGTATTCGGGATTTCGGTATTTGGTATTAGGATACCGATACCGTACCGATTTCCACCCCTAGTGGTTACACCCCCATGCCCCAACCAACACATTGGTTCATTTTAAAATAATAAACCATTGCATCGGTTTGGCCCATGGTAGTTGGACCGGTTTGGTTATTCTAACCGTCACATCGGTTCGGATCGATTTGGTTCAACTCGGTTTGGTCCGGTTGGTTACACAAACCAATATTATCGATTACCAACATAGTACATCAAATTGACTGAATTCGCGGTCACACCTTCCCACAGCTTACCAACATGGTACTTCAAGAGATTCTCTTGGATCTTTCCCCTTTCATTTCCATTCACACCATTAAAAATCTCAATATTATGAATTATCCATTGTGTATTAGGATTATTCCCGGGGTCGTTTAAATTAGGAATTTTGGGGCAAGGTGATGCCAAATTATCCGCCTTCCCAGATTTCACTACATTTTGGTGTTTGGGAAGACTCCAAAAACCAAGGAATTTTGAAAATATGCTATTGAAGAATTTCAAAACAGCAGACCCCACAACTATTTTGAAATCCTTCATTTTTTTGTGTTTGTTCCAACTCTAACCCTTACCAACCTCTTCCTCTCCTTCCCGACCTCTGCTCCCCCGTGTCCTCTTCTCCTCCATGACTCTCTGACATCTAGTTAAGGAGTGAATTGCAGATATTCAGGATTTTGATATGTGGTATTAGGATACCGATAGTGTACCAATTTCCACCCTTAGTTAGAGGCATCTGTGTGAAATTCCTCCAACCCACCTGCTCCAACTCTACAGCTCGCTCCCCTCTGAGACTATCTCACCTAAAAAAGAGGAACCATAAGCGAGGGAGAGTGAGAGCTGCTAAGAAGTTTGGGATCTCTAATCCTCTGCGACCTTGAGCTCGCGTAATCTGGGAACCCCAATCCTTGTCGTTCCAGAACCCATTCTGCCCGTCTCGAGTCCTTTGCCGCAAAGATTATCAATCTTCGGTTGGGAAGAAGAAGGCAACGACTGGCAGAAGAAAAAGGTAAAACTATATGCGATTGGCGAAAATCCACGAGTCAATGCGGTACTTGCTCCTTGTCAATGGGAAGCGGGTGAGGTCGCTGCTCTGCCTCGCCGTCTGCTTATGGTCTGCGACGGAGTTGGTGGATGCGTCCGGAGGATTGCAGTGGCTAGAAGAAGAAGAGGAAGAGGAAGAAGTCTATAGGGCTTCAATGAAGCTTTTGATGGTGAAAATTGAAACAATCTGAGATTTTTCAAGGCGGAGATCTGGTTTCTCGAATAAATTAAGGGTGGAGGGCTTGAAGGCACAACGAGACTGAGGTGGGAGGTGGAGAGCTTCGAGGAAGAGGAAGAAGTACATGCGAAGGATGAGAAAAGGTTTTCTTTTGAGAAATTTTCAATTAATTATTATAACTTAAAAGAAGGATAATTTTCATCTGGCATTATGCATTATACAAATGTTCCGCAACCGCAAGGTTAGTTTACTTTGAAATAACAGTTTAATCATATGTTACTTTCTAAATTTTGATTTTATTATTAGACCATTCAAATAAAAGCACAATCACTTTTTACTCTTCATTAAGAAAAAAATAGACTATTTGAGTATTTGCTCTTTTCATGGTAACAACCAGTTCTCTACGGTAAGTCATTTTCTCCTAAATAGAAGAAACCATAATAATTTATTTATTTATTATTAACCAAAATTACATTATTGTTAATTAAAATATTTAACATGCCATCAATTTGCATTATGAAAAGGTTCTGCAAAGTTAGTTGACTTTGGCATAACAGTTTAAGTATGTGTTACTTTCTAAATTTGATTTTATTATTAGACCACACATTATGAAAGATTTATATAACAATTCTATAGTAGTTACATTAACAACATTGTATAACAGTCCTAAATTATAAATTCATTTGTAAAAATTATAGACACTACATAAACTAAAATTTATAGCAGATAACTATTATGTAAGCAAAGATATTAATGAGTCTTCCTTAATAATTAAAACACTAAGTAAATATTATGAACATATAATCATTTTGTATGCATAAGTTAAAAATATATATTATATAAGTCTTTCATAATGATTAAACACTACGTAATCCTGTGCAGATATAATTATTTATTATGTATCACTTAAAAAATAGTTGATGTATGTTATCCGTAATGATTAAGACACTAAATGAAACTTAGTAGGTATCCTATCTAAATAATTTTGTAAATTATTTGATTTCAACTAAACTATTATTTTCTTAACTCGGTGGAGTGCAGGCTAGAAAACTCGTTACTCATAAAAAGTAAAAAGTAAAAAACTCATAGTAAGTAAGGTCATGAATAAAAGGAGGATCTTCATCTTCCTTCCCCAACATGTTTAATTCCGGGCAGCTGTTAGATTCCTTAATTCCTCGACCGAATTGTTTCCCCAATTTTCCGACGCATTTCACTATCTCTTCTCCTCCGACGACCTTAACAGTCAAGCTTTCCCATCCTCCATCGACATTCTCAAGCTACGCTGCTATCATTCCCTCCGCCACTTTCCAAGCTCGCGCCTAATCGTTGCCGGGTGAGCCGGCATGGCGGGGCCGAACATGGATCAATTCGACGCTTACTTCAGAAGAGCAGATTTGGACGGCGATGGCAAGATCAGTGGAGCTGAAGCTGTTGCTTTTTTCCAGGGATCCAATTTGCACAAGCAAGTCCTTGCTCAGGTTCACTTCCCATTTTCCTGCCCTTTCTCCAATTCTCTGAGTGTTCGAGTTTTTCGTGTAGATTAGTTAATGAACATTCCCGTGCTTGGAATCAATTCGAAAATGTCGATTGATTTAGTATCCAATTTGAATGAACGGAGTTAGTTAGTTAGATCTGTTGTAAGTGAACTGGGCCAAGTAGTTTCTCTGCCTAGGTGCTAGAATCTCTATGGAAGGAAGCTGTGTGTTAGTAACTTAGGATGTAATTACGGTACTTCAAAGAGGGAATGCGATGGTATGTAAGAACAATCTGGCTGTTTTCCAACCTGAATTCGGCACTGGCTATAATGAAAGAGCCATAACTCGTTATGATCGTGTCTATAGTTTGCTGAGTGTTTCTGTGATTGGGGTTGCAGATTTGGATGCACGCTGACCAAAGTCGTAGTGGCTTCCTTGGTCGAGCAGAATTTTACAATGCTCTTAAGCTCGTGACGGTTGCACAGAGCAAGCGAGAGCTGACGCCCGAGATTGTAAAGGCTGCGCTATATGGTCCTGCTGCGGCCAAAATCCCAGCACCACAAATTAATCTTGCAGCTGTGCCTGCACCTCAAGCTAGCTCAATGGCTGCTCCGCAAATGGGGATGCCTGCCTCAGTGTCAGCTCAGAGTCCTGGCATTAGACCACAGGGTGTTCCAACTGTGGGTATGAACCCAAATTACTTTCCATCTCAACAGAATCAGTTTATGAGACCAGCTCAGCCGATTCCTCCAGTATCTGGCCCTCGGCCACCTCAGGCAATTGCTCCCGTGGCAGCCCCTCGACCACCTCAGATGATATCTCCTGCAGCTGCTCCTCATCTGCCTCAGGCTAGCATGATGGGTAGCTCTCAGGCAATGCCTACTGGTACTGCTTATCGTCCAGCCACCCAATCCATAGCTGGTGGTGCTGGTGGTCTTGCCACATCAACTTCTGGTAGCACGACTGATTGGCTGGGTGGAAGAAGTGGTGGATCTATACCTGGTGCTGGCCCTAGAGGTGCCAGCCCAACGTCTGGTTTGCAGCAACTAACTCCAAGTCCAATGTCTTCGCAGTCCATAGTTAGTGACTCCAAAGCTATAGTGTCTTCTGGCAATGCGTCGGCATCTACTTCTTCCTTCGGAGATGACATGTTCTCAGTTACTCCGTCTATGCAAAAGCAGGAACCTCCTAAACCAACTTATTCTGCTGCTAATGCATCTCCAACGTCTGCTCTTGCCCCGGTCTCTTATATGGGTCAAGGCCCTATCAAGTCCAACTCACTTGGCTCGTTACAGGATGCTTTTTTTCGGCAGTCCCTTGGTGGTCTTCAACGGGCCCAGTCATTGCCCACAATAGGGCAGCAGGTTTCAGCTTCAAGTTCTTCATTACCTGCTTCACCTGCAACTTCTGTTGGACTAGGAAGTGCCTTAGACAACAACTCCCAGCCTGGGTGGCCAAAGATGAAGGCAGCAGAAATTCAGAAGTACACAAAGGTGTTCATGGAAGTAGACACGGACAGGGATGGAAAGATTACCGGTGAGCAGGCGCGCACCCTTTTCTTAAGCTGGAGGTTGCCAAGAGGTAACTGCTCTTTGCTTTATGCTGCCTCTTCCTCCGCATTCTCTGTCCATATTAAAGTTATTCACTCTCATAGTGCTTGGTCCGGAAGTAGTGTACTGGATTATGGTTATTACGGGGAACTAAATGCTTGATTTGGTGTTGCTTACAATAGTTTCTTAAACCATGCAAGTAACTACTTGATTTTTACTTTGTGTCCTGGTACTTATGATACCACACAGAACTGGAAAGTTGACCTAGTTTCTATGTGAATCTCTTACTATAGTATCAGATCTGAAATCCCTACTGTACACTCAGTGGTTTCAGTATAGTAACTGGTGTTAATGCCTCTGCTTTCAGAGGTCTTGAAGCAGGTCTGGGATTTATCGGACCAGGACAGTGATAGCATGCTTTCTTTAAAGGAGTTCTGCTTTGCTCTCTATTTAATGGAGCGGTTCAGGGAAGGTCTCCCCCTGCCACCCATCCTTCCTCGTAATGTGATGTTCGACGAAACACTGATGTCAATGACAGGCCAACCTAAGGTTGCATATGGAAATGCTGCATGGGCACCTGGTGCTGGTATAGCTTTTCTTCTAGGACTGGTTTCTTTTCCCTCCATTCTTTTCTACTTTGGCATCTGGGCTTTTTGTTGATATTTGTTTGTGTTGCTATTTGACTAGGTTTTGCTCAGCAGCCAGGAATGGGCCCTCGACCGCCAATGGGTCCTGCACCTGGCTTGAGACCACCAGCTCCGGTACCTGGACCTCCGCATGATGTTGCAGCAGTGTCCAGTCAAAACAATTCTGGATCTCCTGTGTTGGATGACTCCTTTCTGAGCCGTGAGAATGGCGATTCTGGGAATGCAATGCTGCAAAATGGAACTGCAGAGAAAAAGGCACTTTCTCATATAATGTTTCTACACTATTGGGATGTTCTTTTTGTTTGACCTTTTGCTACTTCTCAAGACTAAGTCCAAGAGGGCGCGTGAAACCTATCACCTTATGTGAAGAATGATGGGATCAGATATATAACTTTGATTGTGACACTCAAGGTTGACGACACTATATGTGCAGCATATAAATTTTCCTTGTATCTTATGTAGGCTGAAGGAGCAGAGAAGTTGATATTGGATTCCAGAGAGAAAATTGAGTACTTCCGCAGTAAAATGCAGGATCTTGTAAGTATCTAATTTTGTCCTCCTTTGTTATACTTATAACTAAAGGCTTCTTGTAATGGGAATCAAAGGTGTGTGCATTCCCAGAGATATGAGAGAACATTTTCCCTATTGAGCTTCATTTTTGGGTGTAATTGGGAGGTGGGAGTAAGTTGAAGGACTCCGTTCAAAGGGAGCCAAATTCAGTTAGTAGCCAAATAGAATATTAATGAACCAAAAAGTCCAGGAACAGGAACAGTCATTTTTTGTCGGTTTGCTGAATTAAGAGTTGAGATTTCAGGGAGCAAAACATCTAATTTTGCTTGATGATTGTGCTATGGTACATGTAAATCCATGGATCTGTTTTCTTTTGGGTTAAAAGTAACTTCACATTACATCGAAACTTCTATACTGAAGAAAATGCTTAATTATCTGATAAATGTTGTACTAGTAGGATTTTAGTATGAAATTATGCTCTAGGCCTTTATTCCCCATACGACTTTGGAATCTATTTTTATTAACGTGGTAGAAGTATGAACCTCCTTCTTTCACTTGCTTTGTATCATATTCTTATCTTTTCGCATTTCCCATAAAATCATAGATGTCAAAATGTCATGGGTCTTGTACCCTTTTCTGGTTCTTATTTTTTCTGGATTGTTTTCTAGGTTCTATATAAGAGTAGATGTGATAATCGGCTCAATGAGATCACAGAAAGAGCACTAGCAGATAAGCGTGAGGTATTTTATTGTCTTCAAGCAACTGCCTACTTATTGTCTCCTGATATCTGATTTCTGTAATAAAACCCCGAGTGTCTTAAACTTGTTTGACAGGCCGAAATCTTGGGTAAGAAGTATGAAGAAAAGTACAAGCAGGTTGCTGAAGTGGCCTCTAAATTAACTATTGAAGAGGCCCAGTTTCGGGATATTCAGGTAACTAGTTCCTTTTACTTTTATTAACCTCAGTGATTGGTTAGTGGGACTAATCTGTGAGTCTCTAGTCTAGTTGATTTTGATATTCAGTTATATATTCAAGAAAATAATTATGCCCATTGTGGTTAGACTAATGTGCTCATTAAAGTTTGTATCTCTACTATTTGGGGCGCCAGTTTTATCCTTGTACTGTTAAGAATCGTCCATATCAGTTGTCCAGAAATGATATGGTCATCTATGTAATAATCATTGACTAATGTGCTCACCAAAGTTTGTATCCCTACTATTTTGGGCGCCAGTTTTATGCTTGTACTGTTAAGAATCGTTCATATCAGTTGTCCAGAAATGATACGGTCATCTATGTATTAATCATTGACTGGCTAATAGGAACGAAAGAAGGAGTTGCATCAAGCAATTGTGAACATGGAACAAGGTGGCAGTGCTGATGGCCTTCTTCAGGTATTTATTTACAGGCAGCTTTCCCTATCACAATTCATATACTAAGAGGCGCCCTTAAATTCCCATCGCTCAACTAAATGCATTTTATAGGTCCGTGCAGATCGTATACAGTCAGATCTGGATGAACTGACGAAGGTTTTAATCGAGCGTTCCAAGAAGCACAGTTTGGATATCAAGTCGACCGCGATGGTTGAGCTTCCCTTTGGTACTCCAATCCTAGTCGAATCTTTTCACTTATTAAACAATGTGGTGTTTCAGTTTTAACTAATGCCGATACTCATTATAAATCACTCTGACATGACTTGGTTCGAAATTGGACCCTTTTTCTGCTCGTGTTTTCTTATTTGATGATTAATTAATAAGGATGGCAACCTGGAATTCAAGAGAATGCCGCTCCTTGGGATGAAGAATGGGATAAGTTTGACGATGAAGGTATGCTTTGTCGGTTTTTAATGAAGATCTCTCACACCTTATAATTTACTAGACGAAGACCAAAAAAACACAACCTACTATACCCCCTACATCTGCAAATAGAATTTGATATTTAAAATTTAAAATTGTAATCTCTATCATTAGCTAAATATAGTGATAAAAACTTAATCATTACTAATTTGTGCTGACAACGGTGAGGAAAATGCATTGCATACCCCCTATAAAGGTGGGTTATGCTAGACAACCTTTCCTAAATATATATGAATCTATTCTAAGTGCTTTCACTTGTGGAATCTATACTTCTGATAATTTTGTATACATAATGTTGCTAAAGATCTAAGATTCGTTCAGGTTTTGGCCATGATCTCACTATCGATGTGAAAAATGTTTCTGAGACCGCGAATGGGAAAGCCAATGCCGTTCAAAATGGAATAGCATCACCAGATGGTAGCTTAACTCCAGATTCCTTGTCCAACGGTGATGCAAAATCCGGGAACTTCAGGAATATCCATGATCATGAGCATAACCTCGAGGAGAACGAATCTGCATACGCTCACAGTGAAGTTGAGTCTGTGGCAAGAAGCCCTCAAAGCAGCCCTGCTGGAAGGACTCCGTCACGGGACTTCTCCGATGTTTTTGCAAAGAGCACTGAAGGAGATTCAGAAGCTCATAGGTATATATCTCCCTTCATTTTTCTGTCTTCTTCCTTTCGGGAGTGTATCTTGGCTGATCTTGAAACTGTTTTCACTCCTGGAATTTAGAAGTTTCGACGATTCAGCATGGGGTGCAGCATTTGACTCGAACGATGACGTGGATTCCGTATGGGGATTTAATCCTGCCAGTGCCAAGGTTTGTCCTGAAACCTCTCCAAGAACCTAAAACATAGTGATGAAATGCCTAAATGGTCACTAATAACGCTAACTAAACTAAGTAGTTCGTAGTCACTTTGTCTTGTTCCGTCTAATACGTCGTTGGTTCAGGTGAGTCAGCATGCATAATCCGTGTTACCAATATCGCCCGACTAGAGACCAAGCACCCACTCGAAATCTATAATTCGACTCACTCGTGGAAATTTTTGAGACCCAACAAACCTATTTGACATGCTGACTCAGCCGAACTATTGACAGTTAGACAGAACAAGAGAAAGTGACTGTTTGGTATTACAAACCATATAGTTTTTAGTTTGGTGACCTTTTTCATATATATATGCCCATAGGTTGGTGATCATAAGGCATTTAACCTCTAACATGTAGTTCCAGTTGGTATTCCAAAGCATAACCAAAGCTTTATCCATTTTCACACCACAACTTTGTCATTGTCAACAGGATACTGATTCAGAGAAGCACCAAGATTTCTTTGGCGGCGAGGATTTTGGCATAAAGCCAATCAGGACATCTGGGTCTCCAACCAGTACAACAACGGACCACATTTTCCAGAAGAAGAGCATATTCTTCGAGGAATCCGTAGCTGGCTCTCCCATGTCCAGGTTCGCCAACTCTCCAAGGTTTAGTGAAGCCGGTGACCAATTCGACAGCTTCTCAAGATTCGACTCCTTCAGCATGCAAGAAGGGAGCGGGTTTTCCCCACAGAAGGCAACGCTGTCGAGGTTCGACTCCATAAACAGCAGCAAGGACTTTGGTGGCGGTGGTGGTGGATACGACCGGTCGTTCTCCTCGTTCGATGATGCAGACCCTTTTGGATCCAGTGAGCCTTTCAAAGTTTCCACCTCGTCGGACCACCATCACAGTCCTAAGAAAGGCTCCGACAATTGGAATGCCTTCTAGCCAGAAGTCAAATCCCATAACTTTTTTCTTTAATGGACTGAAAAGGTGCCCATTTTTACCACTACAGAGGCTGCTGATCACTGCAGGATATAAATACAAATATACATTCGAGGGGATTCTTCACTGCTAGTCGGCGGAAATAGATGTCTTGATTTTGGAATCATGTATAGTGTGTGCTGAGAATTGTTCTTGTGTAGAGTTTGGTTGACAGTACTGTAAGCCTGTTGTACTTCTTAAGGGTTTTTGTTCTTTACATTGAATTATCATGTATTCTTGTGCTTCTCTCCAGTTTTCTCGTGGGTCAATTTCGGCTGGAAATCCGAAGTACACAAGTTTTTCGAAAAGAGATGTTTTGTTTAGTCCCAAGTCCTGTTACCTCTGAACAACCTTACGTTTGTAACAAGGCATTTCATTTCATATATGAAGTAGACCAGATTGCTGATATTTTCACAAATCCGCTGAAGCAAGCGTATTCGTCAAATTGAAGACGCTACTCGTTGTTATGGCAAATTAAACTTTAAGGGTGGAGTGTTCAAATAAGTTAATGTCTCGGTTGATCGTTGAAAAACATAAGACATTGTAGATTGACAATGTTTGATCAACATGATCTTAGCAGAATCTTCTCTCTTTTACTCAACAGGATCACTTTCATAGAAGCCTAGCATAATGAAACATGATTCAATCTCGGGGTTCTTCTATCTCATTCAAGGCTCGAGTCTCCTTTACTCCTTTCTTGTAGTCTCTCTTGGAGTTCAAGGACAAAATTTCCTGCAAAGTGGAAACCAATAGGAAAAAAAAAATATATATATATATTCAGGGATTCTGTGTAAGACGCAGGATGTAGAAGATGATACAAGAATCATACAAAACTGATTTTTTAGGTTGAACTTCAATACATCGCACCATGAGTTCATGATCGTTGCAAGAATAACAGATCAGAATGCTTGATAACAATTGGATTAATACCTGATTATCATCCTCTATGTGACCTTCTTGGAACCCTCCAATATCCTCTGAACTTGATCCGATGCAGCAAGGATCTCCGAACGAAGATTAGCTATCTCTACAATCGCCTCAATTGCTGCATAACCATCTCCACTTAGTAAGCGGCGTCATCGTCACCAAAAAATTTAGCTGCTTTCGTTAGTATAAGTAGTTACCTTTCTCAAATGACAGTTGGGAAGCTCGAAGCTTTGGAGAAACCAGTGTTCCAAACATGGCAAGGGATTTCGACCGCTCGTTCTTTTCCTGCCAGAACCACAATGTTAAATTAACATGACCAATCGATCCAATTTGCAAAGATCATTACGATTCCAGAAACACGACGATTGTAGTTAGTAGCAATGTCATTCCGTTTCTGCAGATTCAACACACTATCTACATTGAAACCACACTAAGTCCTTTCTTTTACACTTACATGACCAAGCAGACAGCTATAGAATAGTTACTCACCTTGTCATCAATCTGGACCTGAGCTCCGTCGTCGGGCTTACTAGCACATTCTGTAAAGAGAAACACACAGAAAGAAAAACTAAGCCACATCCTAATAGAAAGCTAAGAATGCTCAATACATAGCGCAACCACAAACACAATCCAATTGAGAAGGTATTCAGAATTTGTGGAAAGCACTTTGTTTCCAGGCCGACTACTCGATAGTTGATTAGCAATACCAGGAAGCTGGGAATCGCCACGATGTCTTTGCTTTAAGCTGCCTGATGATTCCTCATGCTCCTCCTTTGACCTTTGCTTCTCAGCAGAGAAAGTCTGGTTGTCCAAGGATCCCCATTTCCGCAACTGAAATCGTGGTTTCTGCTTCCTTGTCGAATCATCTACTGCAGCACAATACACATATGACGCCAAATTGAAGACAAAATGAAACTTCAACACTATCATATAATCAAGCAAAAGATTTACCATCATCATCATCATCATCTGAGATGACCCGCAATGAAGTAGAAGCTGCGTGTTCTTTAAGGTCTAACAAGGTGTAATTGATGCGTGAAGTGCCCATGGAATGCCTGGCGCTCGCCAAGTCCAGCCATCCCTAGCAGAATATAAAAAGAGGGATCGCCAATCGCCATTAGTCAAATTTTCCATTACGAGCGTTTCCCACACCTAGTAAGAAAGAAAAGTTTCATACTTTTGCTACCAAACATTCAGAATCGGGGTAAGGATTACCTGACGAAGCGTAGAAGACAGAGAATTGAATTGGGTTAAGTAGCCATCCATGGAATCCAGAAGCTTCATGACAGCTTTATTCCGATCTTCCTCTCCTTCTAAGTCTTCTATTGGTTCGCCCCACTGATTCTCTTCAACCTCGAGCTCCGCCATCTCATCGGTTTTCTTCACCTCCATCTCGATTTCATCCGTCCTCGCCAATTCCGCCATGGATTCTCCTACTCACTCGGAGACTATTGGGAATTTGGGATCTAGCGGGCAGTCCTCTTTGGTAAAGAGAAAAGCTTTTGAACTTCAGTGGCATTCCCGTCATTTAACACACAGCGCCGCACGGTTGCAGTAATAATATAATACGTTAACAAGCAGTAGGGTTTATGTAATTTGGGGGATTTGGCGGGTTTACGCGGGCCAGCAGAGTAGCAATGGAGGGAATGGTAAAGAAGTATCAGCAGCGATTCAGAAGGGTCGAGGATGAAATGGAGAGATGGGACGCTCTGCAGTCTCGTCTTCTTTCCCAATTCAGGAACGCTTCTTCCATCGTCGACCGTTTACAGGTGAGCTTGTATCCTGCTTTTGCTTGCTGAATCTCTAGAAGCAAAATTGTGGGCTTGAATTCGATTCTCTGTTAATCGGGCAGGTAATTCAAAGTTCTTCGAACTACGGAGCTCTGAATAGCATTCATGGAGTTCAAGATATGGTTCTCAGAAAGCAGATGGATTCTCTTGGCGCAATTTTCCGCTCCATGAACACCACACTGTAAGTTTGTCGAGCATCATATCTCGATTTGTTTACTGGGAAAGTTGATGAGAAATTTGAAGTGGGTTTGGTTTCCTCTTTTGAAGGGAAGAGTTTCATCGTATTGTACTGTCTCTTGAGAAGATGCATCGTGATGGTAAACAGTTGATAAGCGGGGGTTCTGCTCAGGCTGTCACTACCAAGCAATTGCAGCTTCGGATTGGAATTAAACCGTCACTAGCAGATTGCTTGGATGGCCTCCTCCGAATTCACGACATGCATCAATCCGAGTAATGGCTGTGTGTTTTACTACTTAGCGAAGTTTTTTTTTCTTCAGATGCATCAATTCATGGGGACTTAACCAGCTTTTCTATTAGGTACCTTCTGAAATCATCTGTGGTTTCAGCACTTTCATCTCTTACCTTGAAATCTAGGTAGGTTATCAATCGGTTCTGTAATGCACTAGAATTAGCCTAGTGTACAGATTTTACCAGAAGCAAATCATGATGCTTACCTGGTCTTTATGCCCATCAATACTTGTAGTGAATTAAAGGATCAAAATCCAAGTTTTGTATGCAAATAGTAGCAGTTTTCACGGACCTTGCTTCAGAGAATTGTTGTTGCCTTGCTACTGATTTTGTTTGCTAGAGTGGTTTTCATGACATAGATCGGACTTGGCGTTAATTTGCAGCTCAACTGATCTAAGTGCCCTTCACCAGCTCTTGGTCGATCAGCCTAATATCCCCAAAGAAGAAGGTAAAAGAGCTAATACCACTGCTTTTCATGGGAGAATGCATCAGCATCCTTCTGCATTATGTCTCCTTATTGCTTTTGATCATTCTCCACTGCAGTGCAATCTATCTTCGACATCATCTTCGCAGAAGAGATATGTTAATCTCTTTGTGAACAATGTTCAATGCCTCAATTGTGAAGGCTGATGAAATACCAAATCCCAACGGTGAATCGCGAGATCAGATGTCGGGTAGTTATGAATGTGAGATCATAGGCTTAGATGGAATGGATTGAGTTGGAAGCTAGAAGCAAGAGAAGAAGCAGAAGGGTAGCAAACGAACGAAGTCAACCAATTTGGTTGCCAAAGTCTTTTTGAAGATGAAATTTCCTTGACACCTTCTTCTGGTTTGGTTTGGGTGCATGCATTACATTAGAGTCCGTTGTTGGGCAAATGTCAGTTTACCAAAGGTCAATCGGATGGAAGTTTACTCCACTGTTTTCTATGTAGCATATCGAACTCTTGTCATTGTTTGAGAAGTGAAATGATGGATAATTAAAGTTAGGGGGCTAAAGTATCACTTGTGCCATAGTTCAGGGACGAAAGTCGTAGTTTTAAGTCGCCGGGAGCGGTGATGGTAACTGACAGCGGCAAAAATTTCCCGCGCGAGGGAATTGTTTGTTAATGGCGATTCTTCTTTTTTTTTCACCTGAACATTTCTCGCCATGATCTCATTGAAGAATAGAAAGCCAGCTCAGCCTGGCAAAGTACAAACAAAACCACTCTGGATTGCCGGCCGCCGGAGCTGCTGCTTTTCCCGGCCACCCTGTCAATTTCTTGATTAGATGAATATTTAGGCGTTGACAGCTTAGTACAGTTCCGCACCCCACCATCTTCTCCATTTCAACACTCTCTCTCTCTCTCTCTCTTCCGTCATCTGTAATTTAGTAGCCGTATTAGGAGTCAACCTTCTTCGTCGTCGTCCAAATACAGGGGATTTACGGAGAAAATATGAACCATTTACTATTTGTTGGGTTCCTCTTGTCGTATATCTTCTTCTTCTTCTTCGTCTTCCAATTTCGAGGAGACCCAACAACAACAACAACTAAAATCAGCCAAGCAGCTGCAGAAAGAAAGAAAGTCGTTCAATTCGATCCCCTTTTTGCCGGCGACCCCCGTTTGTTTCAACCCAGTTCCCCTTTGTTTCCTCACCTTATTGCCTTTCTTCGCAGCCGAATCTCTGTCCACGGAAGTTCCAACGTATCCCCCCCCCCCCCCCCCCCCCCCCCCCACCCCCCTTTTCTTCTCCATGTGCAACTTTTGTTGGCAGAATTAGGGTTCTCTACCCTCGCCGATTGATTTTGGCGGTATGGGTTTCGTTCCTACTTTCGTTCTATCTTTGCCCTTCTGATGAGAATTGGGAAAGTTTGTTTCTTATATGCTTGCTTTGATACCATTTCAGTAATCAGAGGAACCCAATTTGCCAATCTCTTTTCCTAAATTAGGCGAACTGTAATTCGTTATCCTGCCTATTTATAGTAAATTTAGGTTTAGGAATTACTGACTATAGAGCATTTAGTAGATGTGATTATGGCTGATAGTTGGGATGGGAGTTATGACCATGGAAGTCAATCAGAAGAGAGCTACCATTTTGAAAGACTCCACATGGAGCCTATCTATGATTCCTTCATCTGTCCTTTAACCAAGCAAGTCATGAAAGATCCTGTCAGCTTGGAAAACGGCCAGACGTTCGACCGGGAGGGGATCGAGAGATGGTTCAAGGAATGTAGGGACAGTGGGAGGAAGTTAGTGTGTCCAATGACGCAGAAGGAGCTCAAGAGCATTGAGCTGAACCCCAGCATAGCTCTGCGACATACCATCGAAGAGTGGACCGCTAGGAATGAAGCTGTTCAGCTCGACATGGCGAGAAGGTCGTTGAATTTGAGCAGTCCAGAGAGCGAGATTCTTCAGTCGTTGCAATATATTCAATATATCTGTCAGAAGAGTCGGTTAAACAAGCATGATGTGAGGAACAACGAGCTGATACCGATGATTGTTCTTATGTTGAAGAGTAGCAGTAGGAGAGCAAGGTGTAGGGCGTTGGAGACTCTGCGAATTGTGGTTGAAGATGATGCTGATAATAAGGTTAGAGTTCAATGATGTCCGATTCTTGATAGAATCTATAGTGTGACTACCTTGGATGCAAACTAGTAACTCGATACTGGTTTTCTTGTTTTGCAGGCGATATTGGGGGAAGGCGACACAGTCCGCACAATTGTGAAATTCTTGTCACATGAGCAATCTAAAGAGAGGGAGCAAGCTGTCTCGTTGCTATATGAGCTCTCCAAATTGGAAGCTTTGTGCGAGAAGATCGGTTCAGTGAATGGAGCGATTCTGATATTGGTTGGAATGACTAGCAGCAAGTCTGAAAATGTTGCTACTGTTGAGAAGGCTGACAGAACACTGGAGAATCTGGAGAAGTGTGAGAACAATGTCCTGCAGATGGCTGTAAACGGTAGACTGCAGCCTCTTCTGAATCACATTCTTGAAGGTGCAGCTTTCACTTTCCCTGATATTTTCTAATCTTCTCTTCAGTTTGTTATGTTAGCATTTGATGAAAAGATTCTTTCTTTCCATCATTGAGGTTATTTCGTTTGCTCTAATTTTCATATTCTCTAAGCTTTCGATGGCCTATTATTTGTGATAAAACATAATGAGGAATATCATTTATCAGGTCCACTGGAAACCAAGCTCTCAATGGCATCTTATCTCGGCGAGCTAGTTCTCAACAATGACGTCCAAGTTTTTGTGGCCAGAACTGTTGGCTCATCTCTAATCACCATCATGAGAAGTGGCAATCCACAGTCGAGAGAAGCTTCACTGAAAGCTCTGAACCAGATTTCGTGCTGCGAGAAAAGTGCCAGAATCCTTATCGAGGAAGGAATCCTCCCACCACTCGTCAAGGACCTCTTCACCGTGGGTTCCAATCAACTCCCCATGCGTCTCAAAGAAGTCTCCGCCACAATTCTCGCCAATGTGGTCAACTCAGGGTATGAATTTGATGTGATCCAGGTTGGTTCAGATCATCAGACACTGGTTTCAGAAGAGATAGTTCATAATTTGCTCCATTTGATCAGCAACACGGGACCCGGTATTGAATGCAAGCTTCTCCAGGTTCTGGTTGGGCTGACGTGTAGTCAAGCCACTGTTTTGAACGTGGTAGCTGCTATCAAGAGCTCGGGAGCTATCATCAGCTTGGTTCAGTTCATAGAAGCTCCACAGAAGGATCTCCGGCTACCTTCCATCAAACTTCTGCAGAATTTGTCCCCTCACATGGGACAAGAGCTGACAGATGCACTGCGTGGCACGGTGGGCCAGCTTGGGAGCTTAATCCGAGTGGTGTCGGAAAACTTGGGGATCACAGAAGAGCAGGCTGCTGCTATTGGTCTCTTAGCCGAGCTCCCTGAGCAAGATTTAGGCCTCACTCGACAGATGCTGGACGACAGAGCGTTCGAGCTGATCTTCTCCAGAGTGGTGAAGATCAGACAGGGTGAGATTCGTGGGACCCGATTTGTAACCCCATTTCTCGAGGGACTGGTCAAAGTCCTTGCTCGGGTCACATTCGTGCTGGGGGAAGAGCACGATGCTGTGTCGTTTTGCCGCGAGCACGAGCTGGCTCGCTTGTTCATTGAGCTGCTTCAGTCCAATGGTCTCGACAATGTTCAAATGAGCTCAGCCGTGGCATTGGAGAATTTGTCCCAGGAGTCCAAGAACCTGACCAAACTGCCTGATCTGCCCACCCCGAGCTTCTGTTCGTCGGTCTTCCCATGTTTCAGCAGACCACCCGTGATCACCGGGCTGTGTAGGCTCCACCGGGGGACATGTTCCTTGAAGGAGACGTTTTGTCTGTTGGAAGGTCAGGGGGTCGAGAAACTGGTGGCCCTGTTGGATCATAACAACGAGAGAGTCGTCGAGGCAGCTCTTGCTGCTGTTTGCACGCTTCTGGAGGACGGTGTGGACATCGAGCAAGGGATGAAAGTGTTGTGTGAGGCGGAAGGGATTCGACCGATCATCGATGTGTTGGTTGAGAAGAGGACGGAGAATCTGAGGAGGAGAGCTGTGTGGGCAATGGAGAGGTTGTTGAGGTCCGAGGAGATCGCGTACGAGATTTCTGGGGATAACAATGTCGGGACTGCCCTCGTTGATGCATTTCAGCATGCTGATTACAGGACGAGGCAGATTGCTGAGCGTGCGCTGAGACATGTAGATAAGATACCCAACTTTTCTGGGGTGTTTCCCAACTTGGGTGGCGGTTGAATGAAGAAAGCTATTTTGATTTACCTTGGAGCAGTTTTCTGAGTCCCAAGTATGATTATTCCATTCAGGGTTAGTTCTGTTTTTCTTGTTCTCTCGAGCTGCTGCATATATAGTATAGATGTCTGCCTTGTTGTTGTATAATCGTGACCTGATTTTTCTCCAGTTGTAGAGAAATTTCCAAATAGTTCATTTGGGTTTTGTGCTTTATGCTGCTTTTTACAAACATACTGAATTATGGTTCGAAAAATGTACTAATATAGGAGCAAGATGAATTTTTCAAGCTGTAATGACGCCAGTAATTGGACAAATAATGTTTGTTATTGAAAGAACATGAGCAGAGATGAAGAGAATACAAAGCCAGCAAAGCAAATCATTACATGTATCCAAAGAATCATCAAAATGGAATTCGCAACTCAACCCATCCTATTTCTCCTGTAACTCAGAAACTTCCTCCATGGAAACTTCACTGAGTCAGCATTGCCGAAGCGGATTCAAAATCATTGCATGAACAAGAAGCATGAATTCTATGGGAGAGAGCCATTCAATTCAGCCACGACCTTTTCACAGATGCAGAACTGACAAGGATTTCATCATGCAAGAAGAAGCATCGAGCTCATGACCGACGTGACTCCTCGAGACATGCCTCCAGCTGGTTGTCCCTGAATCAGAGACATCACACACAGTCGAGAAATCCAACAACTGACCAAATATCTTGAACATCTCGATCCCATATATCTGCCCTCTGCCAGCTACAAACACTGCATTCCAATCCATCGGAGCATCAGGATGAACTGAAACTTCACTCCAGCTCATGTAAACGAGATCAAGCTCCCACATTTTTCTAACAGCCTTGTTCCTCTGCCCGATTCGGCCATCCCCTTCGCACCAAGAGACAGAGAGCATGAATAGTCGGCCATTGGATGCCACAAGCTTAGGGTAGTACTCAACAACTCGAGGAGGGAAGGGGGAAATTTGGATTCCCATCCAGAATCCCCTATCTATGTCATACCCCATCAGCTTGTCGATCTCGGAGTACACATAGAAGATCCCATTGCAGACAACTCCGGAACTAACTGCTCCAAAATCCACAGGAAGCCTTTGAATCTCTGACCATTTGTTGGTCAAAGGATCATAGATTTCTCCAGAGTCCAATGGCTCGTCCCATGGCCCGAGTCCTCCAACTGCAATCAGCACGTACCTCTTGCTACATTTCGCATTCAACCAATTGCTACTTCTCTGCCTCATGAACTTTTGAGAGTGAGAGTGAGAGTGAGACTTTCTGTTGGCCGTGAACGACACTTCATTATGCTGCCGCCTAAGAGATAGCCTGTGAGGATCTTCGTACACATCGGATACCCCACCAATCCTCGACCTGGGAAAACGCCTCTCCTGATGATGATGGTGATGACCAGAACTGAAATCCGGACCCACCTCGGATGCTCCAAGGACCGGCATTGACCTAGCATACCTCATGGAGGCCACCTTTCGCCACGATTTGGTCACGGGGCTAAACACCGTTACCCCTTTGTGAGTCTTAAATGAGCTCCAATCTAGTCTCCCTGGTTGACCGAGGCTAGACCGGCCACCCACGACATAGATTTCGTCATCATGAACGCTTTGAACAGAGAACATGAACCTCCCTTTCAGAATGTCAGCATCAATTTTGTGCCATTTATCTTGGCAACTATCGAAAGCATGAATCTCACCGGAGCAACATCCATCCCTAACGGTTCCAAACAGAAACAACCACGGTGTTCTATACAAGCCTTCCCACCTCATGGTCAAGAACCTAGGGCTAGTAGTCAAGTTCTTCCATTTCTTGCAGACAAGGCGAGCATTCATGAGACTGGTTAGAGGAAGTCTTACCAGGCAGAGCTCTAGAATATCGTCAGGAAGAAACATGTGCAGCTTGCTGGTATCCAATGGATTCGCAATCGGAGCCGCCTCAATCTGCAAATCCCTCCTGCTGCTGTGCTTCTTCCAAAACATTTCTCTAAAGAAGCAATCGACTCCCGTCTCTTCCCCGCCGCAGATGGGCTTGTAAGGCGTCCTGCCCGCTTCATCGCTGGAAGTTGACGACCTCCTCCGGCCGCCGGAGTCCCCAACAAAATCATCTCCGGTATCGGCCCCGACCTTGCAGCCGCCTCCTCGTCCCATCAGGGTAAGACATTTCAACGAAAACCCATCGTTGGCGGGAGAATCTTGATCGGGGGTCGCCTTCTTTCTCAGCTTCTGGCTAACTGTCCGTACCAGTCGGCGGGAGACTGTCAACGCCTCGAAATCGCGGCGGAGTGAGGCGTCTCCGTCGGATAACATTTCCCGCCCCTAAGCGGAAGTAAAAGTCATGGATCGAAAGCAGAGCTCGGAAAGGAGAAGCAATGAGACGAACCCAGGAAACAATCAAGCAAACGGGATCCGGTCTCCAGAGCTAAGAAAGCGAATCTTAAGTGGGAATGGAAATGAAGAGGGAGAAGAGTAGGTGAAAGGGGAATTGGGAAGTTGAGAGGAATTAGCTGGGAAGGGAAGCAAAGGGAAGGGTATAGAGGTGCGGCCCGTGAGCTTGAGAGAAGGTTTTCTAGTGGTGTTACTTTCAGTGAAGGGAGAATGATGAAGACGAACTACGACCGTTTGGGATGGCGAGGGAATTTAGTAAAGCGACTCTCCATCTCCGGCGGACCCGGACCCCACCGCCACCTCTCTACCTTTTCTTTTCTCGTCTTTTTATTATTATTTATTTTTCATTTATTTTTCTCCTTGATTATAGCCTTTTCCTAATTAAAATGATTAAAAGAAGTTAATGAATCATATCAGTCGGTTGGACCGATTAATTCATGTATCGATTGGCCAGATTGATATGGTTGTATCACAATTTTAATGTGTTTATTATTATTTTATTATTAATGGTCGATTAATGACTTATGATACTGATATGGCGAGAAGTTAATGAATCAAATCATTTGGTTGGACCGCTTGCTTCACGTATTTATGGCTGCATCACTATTTTTATTGTATTGTACAAAAAAATGTTATTGCTGTGTCTATATGATTCAATTATATAATGTAAATTGTTGTGCTTGTTCGGTAGATTGAAAAAATTGATCACTAATACCTTGAATGTTGAAAATTTTGTTGGTGTTTGAGGTGGTTTGGCTGGAACAGTTTTTTTTAGATTGTGCATGTTGTATCATTTCTCATCGAGCATTTTTGTATGCACCTCCTTAGAAGGTAATTTTAATGTGGCTCATTTTCTCTCTATTGTAATAAATTTCATAACCAATTTTGTTCGATGAATTCACAATTGTTCGAATTGTATAATCGTCAATTACCCACACCGGTAAACGCATTTTATACAAATATGAAATGAAACCACGACCAAACTTGTACAACAATCAATATGTGGTTTTGACAATTAGCACTTCTCTAATTGAGGGGAAAACAGTAGAATGATGGAGAATGAAGTGATTAGAGTTACCTCTCTTATTTTTTCCCCCGCTCCTTTATTCTCTTTTTCTCGCTTCTCTTTTTGTTTGGGTAAATGCCACATTTGGTCATTGATATTACTAAACCGTGTCATGTTTAGTCACTTCAAAAATTTAATATCAATTTTGGTCACTCGAATTACTGAAACTGGTCACATTTAGTAACTCTCTTGTAGCCTCTGTCCAACTCCGGTCACTCTAATTATTCAAGCATGTCACATTTAGTCACTAGAAAAAATTAATATCAATTTTGGTCACTCGAATTACTGAAACTGGTCACATAACGGAAACTAACGGGTAAGTGACTAAATGTGATCAGTTTCAGTAATTCGAGTGACCAAAATTGGCGGAAACTAACGGGAGAGTGACTAAATGTGACCAGTTTCAGTAATTCGAGTGACCAAAATTAATATTAAATTTTTCTAGTAACTAAACATGACACGATTTAATAATCGCAGTGACCAAATGATGCATTTATCTCTTTTTGTTTTCTAGATCCTTTGATTGATACTTGAACTTGACCCGTCCAGCGCCCACTACAGTTTTCTGTTCTTTTATTTCTTTTTCGGGTTTCCCCACCGGCCACCTCAGTACCCATGGTTTTACCTCTTTCTTTGTTTATGTCTGTTTGCGACGGTGACGGCGGTGGAGTCATGTTGTTTCAACCACCGAGTCCCCGGCCACCGCCGGGGATTTGTCGCTATTGATAAGGGTGGTTGAAGATCTGACGATCCAAACAACTGTCTCATGTCTAATAATCGTTGGCATGGCACGAGAAGCTGATGATATGACTAGCTAGCTCCCATCCGACTGACATAACACTTTCCATGCATATCCTTCTACTTAATTTTGTTCTATCTCTGTCTAATTATCAGATCATCAAACTTAATTATCTCGATCTTGGGCTTTCTCTTCTTCAAGAAAAGTATATGGATGAATTAAAAAGTTAAAACGTGTTGTTTTCATTAAGTTGTGAATATCTATACAAGGTCGAGCTTGTAGAGGCTCGAGCTTTGCAAACCCTATTGCAACTTAATCACAATGAAGCTACCAACAATGAACAAACCGGGGCTAACTTATTCCACTAACTACAATAATCATCCAATGAGAATAAGACACATCGCAATGTGCCACGATGACAAGCGGAATAGACGAATAAGTGGGGCGGCGGCGGCGGCGACTTCGTGCATGTTTTTTTTTCAAACAACGACAAAAGAATCCCGACTGATCTAGGTTAGATTGCGATGTGCCACGATGACAAGCGGAATAAACGAATAAGTGGGGTGGCGTCAGCGACTTCGTGCAGAGCTTTTTTTCAAACAACAACAAAAGAATCCCGACTGATCTAGGTTAGACTTGTGAACCAAGAACCCGATTGAGTCCATTCTTCATCAATGTCGCAATGTTAGCCAAACAAGCTTGGAAGTTGCTACAGAATTCGGAAAGTAACCTTGCCAAAATATATATAAGGCTCGGAACCACCCAAATAAACACTTTGTCATGGTCATACAAGGGCCCCGC